AGTCCCGGAAATCTGCTTCCGTTAAGATTAGAGCCAAGAAAACCCTATGGAGCACAGTTCTACTCTGTACTACATGCGGTCACCATGAGTCAAAATCAACTCAATGGCAACAGATTTGGTTGTCTGTTTTTTGTTGGTGTCTCAGTTTCCTAGTGGTGCTGTAACACAAATACCACAAGTGGGTAGCTTTAAAGAACAGAAATCTATTTTCTCACAATTCTGGGGGCTAAAAGTCCAAATAGGGTCTCAGCGATGTCTCTTCTTTCCTTATAGCCTCCTTGTTCCTTGGCGATCCTCACATTGCATCTGTCTTCCCCAGTATGTGTTTGCATGTTTCTGTGTCGGTACTGCTCTTTATATAAATCAGAAATGATTAGGTTTAGGTTCCACCCTACACTAGTATGACTTCAATGACTGATTGCATGACATTAGATTGCATTATGGGAGGAGATTACATTACATTAGAAAGGAACCTAAGCTTTTGGCTGCAATCTAAAGGTTTTTGGTTCAAACCCACCCAGCAGCTCTGCAGAAGAAAGACCTGGCAATCTGCTTCCATAAAGATTACAGCCAGGAAAACCCTATGAAACAGTTCTATTCTGTCACATGACTTGTTATGAGTAGAAACCGACTCAAGGACACCGAACAACAACAGATTAGATTACATCCACAGGTATAGGGATTAGGATTGCAACACATATTTTGTTGTTGTTAGGTACCATCGAGTTGGATCCAACTCATAGCGACCTTATGTACAACAGAATGAAACACTGCCCTGTCCTGCTCCATCCTCACAATCATTGTTATGCTTGAGCCCATTGTTGCAGCCACTGTGTCAATCCATCTCATTAAAGATCTTCCTCTTTTTCGCTGACACTCTGCTTTAGCAAGCATGATATCCTTCTCCAGGTACTGATCCCTCCTGATAACTTGTTCAAAGTATGTGAGATGAAGTCTCGCCATCCTTGCTTCTAAGCAGCAAACACATATTTTGGGAAGACACAATTCAATCATAACACTTCCTAAGATGTTTCCTACTTTACTTGCTTGTCATGTTTCCTTGTCTGTCTCCTCCCACTAGAATGGGAGCCCCACGTGGGCAGGGATTTGTGTTTGTTCTGTTAACTGCTCAATGAGTAGCACCTACGACTGTGCCTGGCACAAAGTAGAGGCTCAAGAACTACTTGTTGAATCAGTGTTATAAAAATGTTTGTTTATCTGTGTCTCCTACCAGGATATAAGCTCCAAGGAGGCAAGGTCCATGTCTATTTGCCCGCTGTTGTTTCTCCAACCTCTAGCACCATCTTTTGTACATAGTAGGTGCTCAGTAAAGAGTTTTAGGATGAATGAATGAACGGGGTAAGGATGATTTCTTGTGTAAAGGTTAAGAGCACAGGCTTTGGAGCATATCTGGCTGTGCTGCCTGCTAGACTCATGACCTTGGACGAGTCTCTGTACTAGAGTTTCTCAGGAAATAGGAGCGCCTCGCTTACTTTCCACATGTTATCAGGGACCAATCCCAGGAGAAGGACATTATGCTTGGTAAAGTAGAAGGTCAGCAAAAAAGAGGAAGACCCTCAACAAGATGAATTGACACAGTGGGCTCATACATCACTAGTGGGAACATAAATGGTGCAGCCTGGAAGTTTCTTAAAAAGTTAATCATATGTACATAAACCTTGAAAACATTATGCTGAGTGAAAAAAGTCCGTCACAAAAAGGGTGAATATTGTGTGAACCCACTTACACAAAATGTCCAGAAGAGGCAAATGTATAGATTAGTGGTTACCAGAGGTGTGAGGGAGGGGGAAAGGAGGAGTCATCGCTTGGGAAGGGGCACCGAGTTTCTGTTAAGGGTGTTGGAAAAATATGGAAATGTATAGTGATGATGATTGCGCTTGATGAGTGAAATCAACATCACTGAATTGTACATGTAAAAAATGTTGAAATGGCAAATGTTTATATATACTTTTTTTTACCACAATAAAAAAAAAACCCTCTGTGACTTCCCGTTATAGTTAAAATAAACTATAAGGAAACAAAAAGTTGATTATAAACTTAACATGCTGTTTTGTTTGTTAGGTGCCCTCGAGTTGATTCCAACTCATTGTGACCCTATAGAACAGAGTAGAACTGCCCCACAGGGTTTCCTAGGCTGAAATCTTTACAGGAGCAGATTAACAGGTCTTTTCTCCCTCAGAGTGGCTTGTGGCTTCTAACTGTCAACCTTTTGGTTCACAGATGAGCGCTGTAACCACTGCACCACCAGGGCTCCTCAAACTTAACCTACAACCTAGCAATTCCACTCCTAGAAATTTACGTGAGAGAAATGAAAACATACAAAGATTTATACATGAATGTTCATAGAAGCACTATTCACAATAGCCAGAGTGGAAACCGACCCAAGTGTCCATCAACAGATAAATGGATAAACAAAATGTGGTATATACATACAATGGAATATTATTCAGCGGTAAAAAGGAATGAAGTTCTGATAAATGCTACAACATGATGAATCTCAAGACATTCTGAGAAGAAGCAGAATGTTACAAAAGAACACATTGTGTGTGATTCCATTTATATTAAATATCCAGAATAGGCAAATTCATAGATAAAGAAAGTAGATGAGTGGTTGCCTGGAGCTGAGGTGGGAACGGGAAGTGATTGTAATTGGGCACAAGAGATCCTCCTGAGGTTATCGGAAAGTTCTAAAATTGGATTGTGGTGATGCTTGCACAGCTCCACAATTTACTAAAAATCATTGAATTGTAAACTTAAAACAGATGAATTTTATGGTATGCAAATGAGGCCTCAATAAAGTTGTTTAAGGGAAAAAAAGAAAGAAAAAACCAGAACCTGGAATAGTATCTATTCTATGGGATTGTGTGAGGATTGAAAATGAGCTAATCCACCTAACCCCCTTAGAAACAGATACAGCGTGAACACTCAAGAAGTGTGTTTTGTATTATTTTTAATGAATGTGGTTGAGATCGTGTACGTAAAATCCTCAGCACAGGGAAAGACAAGCAGTAGGGTTCAATGCGTGAAAACCACTACTACTATTGCTGTTGTTGGGTGCCCTCGAGTCGATTCCAACTCGTAGCAACCCTGTGTGACAGAGTAGAGCTGCCCCATAGGGTTTTCCTGGCTGTAATCTTCAGGGAAACAGAGTGCCAGGCCTTTCTTCAGTGGCACTGCTGGGTGGGTTCGAACTGCCAACCTTTAGGTTGCTAGTCAGGTGCAAACCACTTGCGCTGCCCAGGGACCAAGGGCTCAACCAAGATCTGTTAAATGCATTGACAGAGGGGGTTCTGGGAAGCTGTGGGTGGTCACCATCTCCCCGCCTTGACCAACAAACAAAAACCATCTTCCTGGCTTCCCCTCTGCCTGGTGTTGCCGTCACACTCGGGGAACCATCTTCCCTCTCAGAGCCTCAGTTTGTCTCCCTGTAAAACAGGGATCATCTCACCCCTCCATTGCCTTGCCTTGCAGATGTGAATATACCTAAATGGTCGACGTTGTTATTTGCACAGGTAAGAGAGAGCCATTAAAGGTTGTGAGAGGCAGGATGTTGGTTGATGGAAAGAGAGAGGGGTTTAAGGAACATTTGCCTGGAGATGCCCTTCCCCCTTCACACCTAGGGCCTTAAACCTACGTGTAAAGCAACTACCCAAAGGACTTGTGGAAAATGACACTCTCCATCCTACCCCCAATTCCTTGCCATTTCTCAAATGTGTAGGATCATCCCACCTCAAGGTCTTTTGCACCTGCTGTTCCCTCTGCCTGGTGCTCTCTTCTCCCAGACACCCACATGGTTCCTTCCGTCTTCATTCAGGTCAAATGTCACCTCACTGGAGAGCCCCCCCACCCTCCCTGTCATGCTCTGCTATCAGAGTGTGGCTTAGTTTTCTCAGCAGCCCTTATCAATACCTAATGCCCTATTGCACTTTGATTTATCATCTCGAGTGGCGCTGTCCAATAGAACTTTTTGCAATGGTGGAATGTTCTAGATCTGCGCTGTCCAATAAGGTAGCCACTGGCCACACGGGGCTACTCAGCACTTGAACTAGTGTGACGGAGGAAGTGAATTTTTAGTTTTATTTAATTTTGATGCTTTTGTTTTTACTTGCTTTAAATTTAAATAGCTGTGGCTGGCTAGCAGTGGCTACTATATCAGACAGCACAGTTTTGGGGTTCCAGCTCTTCAAGGCAAGGGACTTGGCTGTCTTCTCCATGGGATTGCCAGTGCCTAGCACCATGCCTGGCACAGAGTGAGTGTGTGGCAAATGTTTGTTGAATGAGTGCATTTGGGGATTCCACAGGGCTTCCAGGGGACCCCCAGAAGACCACCTGGGCAGACATTCATGTGTCTTTGAGCACTCCTGTTTCTTCTCAGCCCCAGGTTCCTGGGTTTCTTGTTCGGTGGAGGACCATGTTCCCTGATGGGAGTATCTACCTCCTTCCTCCCCTACACTCAAGCTCAGAGCCTGGTGGACAAACCCCAACTCACCCCAGACCCCCTCAGCAGCCCCCACCTCCACAGACAGCCTCACTCTCTTTGGGTTCCACGAACTCACATTTATTCAGACAGACTTATTCAGACAAAGGGACAGGGACGAACCTTTGCTCACTGGAGACCCCCAGGGTCTGACAGTTCCAAAGAGGGTGGTGATGTCCCATGTGTCAATATGTGTAATGGGGGATGGGCAGGCAGTGGTGTTCCCACCAGCCTCCATCCTTCTGGCCAATTGTCCTCAGCCTCCTTCTTTCTCCATGTCGTCCTGCCTTAAGACACATACTGGAGTGAGAGGTTCCTAACCAGCATGGGGGGCCTGGGAGTGGGTGATGAGGAGGGCCTGCGGTCCAGAGCACCCACTCCTTAGTGTTAAGGGCTGGGAGGGGGGGTGGGTAGGAGGAGGAGGGACCCCGCCTTCAATTTCCCTCTTCCACATTGCAAACCGGGGGGAGGGGGGCTCAAATGGGGGGGAGTAATGTGAGGGTCAGGAGGCCAGACCCCCCAACCCCCGCAAGTGGGCCTTGCTGTCGACCTCTTCCTCCTCCATCTCGAAGGCGGAGTGGTCTTGGCTGTCGAAGCAGGAGGCGCTGAGGAAGACAGGGGGCGCGGGTGGGGACCGGGGTGGGCTGCCCGGGGAGGGGGGCTCCTCCTTGATGTGCGTGACGGGCAGCTGCAGCTCAGGCTCCTCCTGCTCAGAAGGCGGTGGCGGGGGCGG